ATCGGCCAGCATCTGGCCAATCCACCACCTCTCATTGTTCATGCCATTACAAAAATAAATAAATAAATAAGTCATCAGCCCACCGTGCAAATGTCCAATGGCTAGTCCAGCTATGTTAACTTGTTAATCTTTCGCTGAAAAAATGTTTTCTGCGGTGCTGTGCCCCCCCCCAGGCCACCCCGCTGGACACGCCACTGAACGCCGAACACGTCACTCTTGCACTCAGCTATCTCTTCACCACGACAAACTGGTGTGCTGCGTCCACAATCCCTCTACTTTAAACAAACTCCATTGACCCTTATCTCATCTTATCGTATGTTACATGTTCTCAACTTTCATTAAACATGACTTCTATCATTTCTGGATGTCATCACTTACAGTATAATTTCTAAACAGTATCCCATGGATGCTAGAGAATCTTTTTTTTTCTGTTGCAGTGAACTCCTCATCTGGGGTTATTCTTTTCACAAGAAAGAATAACTTTTATTGTAGTTTTGTAGTTAGTCTTTTTCCACTTGAGCCACAGTGGGTGTCACAAGGGAAAAAATATTTAACTCTTCTGTGTTATATGAGCCTGAGAGATTTTAGTAATTTATTTTTAAACCATCGTCATTCCCATGGAAACACTTTGGAAAGCCGTGCCTCTTCTGGCGATAGTAATTTTGAATATCTCATTTTTTCTGCAAGGTAAGAATGTTGCCACGTAAATATTCTTTCTTTTTAGAGCGCAGAGGCTTTCTCCTGACAACCCTTCAGACTTTTTCCAGTTGTAAGATTTAACATTTCGGTCTTGTGTTGTTGCAGTTTGTCTGAGCATTGTACATTCAGACCATGGGAAGGATTTGCTGAGACTTCCACTCCTTGGCATTAGTCAAGACCACAGCTTTTGTTATGTGCAAAAAGCCCCTACTGCTATTATACTGTCATAAATGTCTCCCAGACAAACAATCCCTGTTCCCTGCACAGAATAATCTGAAGCACTGTCATTCTCTCGCATGAGCTGGATTACTACAAATGACTGATAATTACTCTTCTGTGACCTTGCAGACTCCCCGCTTTGTGAATATACAGCATGTTTATGACAGATTTGAATACAGGCAGATCAAGCCTGCTGTCATGCGGAGATCACATGCATATTACCTCAGTGAGTTCCCAGGTTATGCTGATGGTCCAACACAGGCCGTAGCTGCGGATTAGCAAAGCCTTCATGGCCCATCCTCCAAAGTGGCCAAATGCAAAGATGTCAAAGTGGCTCAGGATGCGCTCCCACGTTATCACTGTACAGTTTACAGCATACTCCTGTTAGGGAGAAAACAACAGTAACAATGCTAACCAATCACGCTGATCCCTCCTTTTGATTACATCTTTACTGCTACCACAATTACTTTATTTTACTGAAATCTGACTACACAAGTGTGTATTCACTGGTCAGCAGATTCTCCAAATAGATCATATTATGGAGCATGTAAGAACATCGCTACAATCATAAAACTTTATTGAAAAAACAAAACAACTATGCCGCATGATTATTCTAAAGCTATCAAAAAAATGGCTTTAGAGGATTTTAAGTTTCACTTCAACAGGTTCCAAAAAAAAAA